AGAAGAGGCCAACCGACAACGGGCGCTCGAACGAAACCACAAGCCAACAACCAATGGGGCGGGAGGGGGGCAGGAGACGGACGAGAAGGCGAGGGAAGAAAGCAAACGAGAAGAGACGGACCGAGTGGCGCGATACGTGCCGGATTGAATTTCTTTTAGCCATTTCCCGCCCCCCACAACGCTGCACCATTGCACCAACCCCCCACAAGTGATGACGTACCATTACAATATATCGCTGTTTGGTGGCCATGCTTGCGTGTTTGCTTGTCGTTAGTGGTCTCTCCACCGTGTGCCTTTTTCTGTCTCTTATTTCTTGTTACGTTCGGCCTGGTCCCTTTTTGTCCTCGCTCTTTCTATTTCATTTTCTCTTTCCTTACTATTTTACTTTCTTTTCTTCTCTTTTTCTCTTTTTTTTGCTTGTTCTGTGCCAGATGGCCTTGTCTCTGCTTGCGTTGTGAAGTACCAAGATTGTACCAAGGGGGTGTACCTCATTCGCTCCGGCCCGTGATGGTGACTCCTAGTCTCAGTTATTACCTCGCATAGCGCGCAGAGGGAGTGGAGGACTCCAGAATATCTGTCGTTGATTTCTATTGACTTAAGGACCCCTCCGGGCCATATTATTTGAGTGTACCTTTTTAGGGTAAGTGAGCCTGCGACCACGGGAATCGACCGCGTCGAGTGTTGGATCAGTACGGACATACGAAGGAACTGGGTAGAGAGAGATCGGAACGGTTTTTTATGTGAAGACAACAACAACAACTGCGTCTCACGGTACTCTCTCCACCCCTTCCCTTCGCGTACAAATAGGATCGGACGTCCTCCAAGCGAGAGATGATCTCGCCCTCGGTGAAGGACGAGGTTACGCACGACTTCTTTTTTGGCGGCATCAGATGGACCGCCGGTAGATGGGAGGAATCTATCCATACCAACACCCTGTTACAGCTGCAGCAGCAGACCGCTCGCTCCTTCTGCTGTCTGTGCGTCGCTACTTCTGCATTCAATGTGGTGCGTGGTGGGTGCAAAGAGCGGCCCGCAGGACACATGAAAGGGGGTACGCGATATAAAATAAGTGGTACTACATTCTCGTACATTCTGTCGGGCCCCCTGGTGCTCAGAAAAAAGGTTTCCTTTGAGCGGGGAGTTTCCTTAACGCGGGCGTCCTTAAAGCGGGGTCGACTGTACTACTTGTACGAAGTAGATGCATAGGCGTTTGTTTTCCTCCTTCTCGTAAAGTTACTACGACAAGACAAGTCTCACTCGAGAAGTACGCGGTACGGCTGCAAACATGCTCGCGCGCTAAAAACGAGCTGTTTCCAGAGAACCGCGAAATCGTCGACATTCCCTGTATTATAGTGTACACCCCACCCGCCGTACGCCGCTTCTATGCATACTGCAGCCGAATTTAACATTCTGCGGAAAGTCTCGCCCAACTCGTAGTCTCACTCTGCCTGCAACAGGCAGGGACATCGTTGCAGTAGCGATAAAGGCCGCCCTACTCTACAGGGCTCACTCACCTCCAGCTCCGGAGAGCCCGGTGAAGTCGTGCAAGACGGGAAGGACGCCGGACGGGTCGGGGTAGACACCGGCGGAAGAGGGGGTGCTACCGCCCCCGGGGTGGTGCTACCACCAGCGGCAGGCGCGTTTTCCTGCATCGTCCGATCAATGCGCCTCCTCAATGCCTCTCTCGCTCTGATATTGAGAGAAAAAGCACTCACGCTCCTTCGTTACTCGCACGGGCCTCTCTCTCTGTATGTCTTTGCTGTTGAGGGAACAACTCCTTCTTCGTTACCCACACGTGCCGCTCTCTCTCTCTCTCTCTCTCTCTCTCTCTCACTTCCGCTCTCGCTCTCTCCCTCTCTCTCTCTCGCTCTCTCTGCTGTTTGAGGGACCAACGCCGTCTTCGTCACGTACACGTGAAGCAGGCCGCGATCTCTCCAATCGGCCGCCGGGGACAGCGCTCCCGATCAGTGTTCCCCTTTCAAAAGAGTTCACTAGGATCGAGTGATGAGAAGCTTACCAGCGCACCATTTAGATACCCTTCAGGATGGGCTATGGGGCTCGCGGTACCGCGCCAAGGAGAGAGCAAGCCAGCTTCAACTGGACCTTGGTGCTGACGGCTCCTTCTCTCTCTCTCTCTCTCTCTCTCTCTCTCTCTCTCTCTCTCTATCTCGCTCGCTTTATCCCTCGGGGCTACGTTGACGAAAAGGAGGAGATGCAGGAAGATAGAGGCGTAGGGGGAAGGTCGCAGCACCACAGCGGATTAGCAGGAGCACTTTGTGACCCTTGCTTGCTTTCTCTCTCGATACTGATGGTAGCGGAGAGCTGCAGCTGCAAGCTGCAAGCTGCCTGGAGGGGGGTCGCAGAGTCTACCAAAATGTCGTGTCCCGCGGGTAGGTTTCCAGATCGGTGCGCATACCCCTTATCATCAGGATCCAAATCCCTGGAAGATGCCAAGCTTGAAGGATCTTGAAGGATCTATGCCCCACGAAAGAGGTTCCAGATGTAAGCGTTCCTAGGGAATGGAATATCGATTCCGAAAGGAATGGACAGCATGACCGTGGGGCCCACGTCGTAGGCTTCCTGTAACAAATACTGCTGTATGCATTACTGTGCATGCCACAGGAGGCCACTGTAAGGTGGAATGGTAGTCATTCTGTTCGGGTATTTACTTTTCCTTAATGGTGGGCTTGGTGTTACGATGCTGAAGGCTGGCGCAGAGCGACGAGTTAGATGAAGCTGTAGGAGGCTTAGGTTGCGCGAAGATCTCCAGGACCTGATTTATCATGACCATCCTAATAATATTGAGCGGTCCTCGGGGGATAAAAATTCCTCGCTGGTCACCTAGCCACATGAGAGCCACTTTCTTCACCATCTTGCCTCTCTCTCTCTCTCTCTTCACAAATGTGAGCTGTCACGCAGCAGGGAAACTACGACGATGTTTAGATACCATTGCCACATCGCACCATCATTCCTTTCAAAGAGCAAAAACCTGGAAGTCTGATGTTCCCTTTCCAACTCTCCCAAGTGGCGAGTAAACCACATCGCCGACCATGACGGTCAGCAAGGTGCAGCACAGCACGAACACAATGAGCTATTTGTCTCCAACAGAGGAGGGGGGGCAAACCGGTCTTCCAGCACACAGGCAAACACCCGTTGTTCCCAAAGATTAGATTCTCATTGATACCGGCAACCAACTCAAGAAAAAACACAGAGCATCAGCTCGATGCCTTGCGTGACATTCAGTGTGATAGGCCCTCCTTCCAAGCCAAACAACAAACGGGCCTCGAGAGCACCTGTTAAAACTGAAGTAGACAAGGCTAAGGTACTAGTCTAATGTTACAACAACGGACGCGAAGAGGAGTAAAGCGCATCATCACACCCCAAGAAAGAGGCAATCATGTCGGCTGATTTGGCTACATTTCCCTCTTACAACGGCACACGAAACAGGCCGTGTTTGCTTGCTTCCACAGCAGTGACTGACAGCGGCTTGCGCCCTTCCTCCCAAGCCACAAAAAAAAAAAAATCACAACAGGAATGACAAGTCGGCCGACAACGGGTAGAGACCCAACACAGCTTACGGATTACGCTGGCCATCTAACACGGAAGAAAGACTGGGGCGCGTCAACGAAAAAGGTGATTACCACAACCGGAAAAAGAATAGAATAGCCCGGTTTGGAAGGCGCGGGGGGATAGAGGCACCGGGCGCGTTCGGCAGCTGGAAAAACAAAAAAAAACTCAAGACACAACACGTTGTAGTGCCTCGGGTGCGTCTGTCTGCGTTGCCTTCGAAAGAAACCGCCAGCAAAGAAGCTTGCATCGTCTCGAAACGCCAAAGAATACAACATGACCTTCACACCAACAATAACTACCACCAACAATAACTACCACCAACAATAGCAGTACCACACAACGACTTGCAGGCGTGCATTCCCCCGGCGAGAGTTCTCGTTGGTCAGCAGAAAAACGCGAGAAACGGGAGAAAAAAGCGAAGCAGGGTTGGTTCCCATAGAGGCGTTTTCTCGTCCTCCAAGAGCGCGCTTCACGACGGCAAGACGGCAGAGGCTTTCGGGAAAGAAACACACACACATCACGGGACCGATGACATCATCACAGAAAGCGTGCATCTGAAATCAAGCTACCTCTTGGTCTACCCCTACCCAACAGCAGGCACGATCGTGTCCTCGTACGTGTCTCCCGCATCGCTGATCAAACCCTCCACCGTCTGTCGAGCGCAAGAAGGGAGCGCGTGGGGAACCATCCAGGGCGTCGGGGACAAGGGGGGCGCAACAAATAGCGATGGGAAAATGCTATTGGGACGGAGCAGAGCAGTTTAGACATTCGAATCTTGCTGGTCATCAGCCGTCGAAACTGTGACGACGAGTCAAGGTTAGCAGCTGTCTGTCCAGACCAGCTTGTCGGCCCCTTGCCCCTTCGCCGAAAACACCACAATGCACAGGCACGGACAAAGCCAAAACTCCGTCGGTTTTGTATTGTAGCTGCCGGCACCAACACGCCCCACCACTCAAGAACTTCACGCGAGGAAGGGTGCAAATCACCATCTCAACATTCCCTAGCAAATACATCGACAGGGTTCTGCTTCTAGGCGCTGCTGCGGGTGCCCTGCCTGTTTGGCTCTCTCCCTGCCCCTATTGCCTATGGGTCTCCAGGTTGTAAAAGGTGACTACATAGTCGTTTCCCAAAAGCCATGCATAGACCCCCGAACTATCCTACCAGGTGGACGAGGGTTCCCTGGATGCACTATGAAACAAAAATTGCCACAAATTTCAGCAAATACGGGGTCCCATCCTTCATGTTACCGTCCCAGGCCTGGTCTTGTGGTGGAGCTGTCCGACAACCTTGACAATGCCGACAAGTGCATGGGCATCAACATGGTGGCAAAGCTCGGTTCCGTCCTTCCATGTTGCCAGGACATGGCCTCTTCAAGCATGCAGGTACAACTGTCGCAAACACAACGACCACCTATGCGGCTCACCTCCCCCGCATACATAGACAGGCGTTTCGCGAAACTGGTGAAGAAGTTGCCCTTCGAGTCGGTCCCTGTCCACACCACATAGACTGTCAGCTGGCACAGGGCGCTCACTTGATTTTCAACCCCGTCCTGCCCACCCAGAAGGGAACAAGGGATTCGCGCGAACAAGAGCAAATTCGCAGAGAGCAAAACAAAGGCATCTTCAAGGAGCAAACGCAAAGGCACTTGTGACAGAGAGCGAGGGCGGTAGTCAAGGCTTGTTATAGCTCTGACAACACATCGCGTCCGTCCGCGAGGCCCAGCTAGCAATACCTGGATGTTTGCTCCGCCGTTCCTACACCACGCGAAAGCATCGGAAGCGGAAGCAATCGAAACGACCAAGCAAACGTCACCACAATCGGCAACTACTAGAAAGGAAAAAGCAAGGTTAAAAAAGGTGTTCCTCCAAAACCTCGAGCCGCCCTGAGCGTTACACGGCGAGGGGGAAGACGATAGAGGGCGATCATGCCTCCACAAGTGCAAGCCGCGCCCGGGGGAAACGGCTCCGTTGCGCATCGTCCACGTGCCCCCCACACCCAAACGTTACTCGTGTATTTGCAATAGCGTAAGCGCCAGCACTTGAGAACCTCTATCTAGTTTCGGGCCGAGGGTGGGGTTCTTGGACCCTAGGGCCATGCTGCCAATGGCCGCAATGTAGATTTCAGTGCAAAAAGGGGGTTCTCAACCGAGCTTACAAAAAGGTGCTCGTGTTCTTCAGGTACTTCGTTTTAGAGGCTATATCAATTACTCAACTGACTGCCACGTCCTCTGTAGTGCCAAGTTCTCTAACTGCCAAGTTCTTAAGTTAAGTGCGTGCGCTAACTGTACAAGATAAATCGGCACCCCAGGGCGCTGCGCTGTCCCCGGAGCTCTCACGCGGCTCACGACCGGCCTGTTTGCAAGTCGGACCGACGTCAGTCGGAACTATTGCACTGTGCGAAGTAGTATGCAATAAGCGCCGACACGTCGTTCGTCGCTCTGTGATACGTAGCGAAACACACTGTAAAGCAAAACCTCGGGAAAAATTGAGCATTCGATAAGGTCATATGCATAAGTGCAACAGCCCTTGACGCGCCCCAAAACAGACAAGCTGGGTTGGGTTGCACAAACAACGACGAGCGCATCGACGTATCCACCTCCATGACGCTAGTTGTGCCTCAGGGCGCCTGGACATTCTTCACCATCTCGGGGAGCCAACTGGCAGCGACAGTAAGTCGATATAACATCACCAACCCCCACGATTCTCGCTTCAGCACCTCGAGACAATCCGAGTCGGGCCAGTAGCAGTCCTGGCCGTTGCCTTCGCCACCTATGAGCTGTCCCGTGTAGTCGTACGTGTTGTCCTCGCACTGCGAAGAGCCGCAGAAGTGGCACCCGTCGTCCCACGAGATACCGGTCACCTGGCACGACGGAGGGAGAGGGGAAGCACTTCTGAGAGGAGCATTGTTTTGGAAGTAACGCCCTGACGACTACTCGTACCAGTGTTGAGAGCAGAGGGTTGTGAGCACTTCGGAGAGAAGGGTTGCTCACATCCTGACGACTTTTGGACCGCCTTCACGCGATTGATAAGTTGATGAGGAAATACAACTGGGAGGGGGGACGCAAACTCTATTCCCTAACCCTAACCCTACACCAACTTCCCCGATTGCGTGCTTTATCCATGTTGAGCTTACATAATACGAAATACCCTGCTAAGTCTACTGCGACTTTTCGCACCATTGTTCAGGGCTCCAAGTGACACATCTCTTCTTGTCTTTGCTGTGTGAGCAAATGCGGTTGGTTTGTTCGGATCCTTCCCCATCCACACTGCCACTCTACCCCCCCCCTGCACTACCCAAACCGCCATCGGCCCACATATTTTCGCCCCCCCCCCC